GAGGGGGTTGTATTTCAAATGGAAGTTCATTGGAGTAAAATGGGAGCTGGAAGCGTAGTGGCTTTTCATTGGCTGAGCTCTGACAACCCCTCATTGGCTGGGGGAGGAGGAAACTTTCCCTCCTCCCGCGGGGTTAGCTCGGTAGTATCCCCCTGCAAGGTGCGTCTCTCTCGTTGTTGGGCCTGCCGCGGAGGAGGAGTGGGAGGCGGTGAGAGCAACCCCTGCAGGCCTCCAGACTCCATCTAAGTGAGGTCGGCTTTTATTCATGTCCACACCCTGTATCTGAAGATCTGCCACCATACCTGTCAGGAATCCAAGGGGACCTCTCCAGGACACGGGTCCCCTGCTCCGATGGGTGTGAGGCGCACTGCTGCCAGGAGGCCTGGGGCTGGACCCAGCCCATAACCCAGTGAGGGGGCTCATGCTCACCCTGGGGCCCCAGGCTGCCCTGGGTCTTCCCTGCTGTCATGCGGGACTTAAGGGAACTCCCCCCCACAAGTGTGGACCCCTATCTCGAGCTCAGCCATCGGTGTCTTTCCGTCCAGGCCCCCAGGGCTTACACACACACATGCACACACGCACTCCTTCCTTTGCAAGGGGGTGGACAGTCCCAGGGGGGCAAATTTGAATGGAAGATGGTACTTCGGAGACCTGTTTCCTCCCTATTCATTCAAAAAGTAGCGTGTGCGCATGCTCTGCAATCCCTGGCTTTATCCAGGTCATCTTTTTCTGATTCGGGACACAAAGAGCTTCTTCATCCCTTTATAGGGCTGCAGAGCGCCCCTGCAAAATTATTTTCAGTTTGGGGAGGGAAATAGATTTCTAGTGAGATAATAAATGACACGTATCATATACCCCCCTCCCCGTGGTTCTCCCAAGGGGAGCCCCAATGTAACACTGGCGCCCCAGACATCTGGAGGTCCAACCAAGGAACCCCTCAGCAGGGGCACGGGGTGGGAGTAGGTGTCTGGGAGGCAGCGCCCAGGGACCCTCCAGGGCCCCAGGCAGAGGGGGCGCGGCCAGGTGGGCGGGGTGCGTGGCGGGACTGGAGCCTCAGCCTCCCAGATGCCCTGACCTGCGCGTGCACGTGGAAGCCCGAGCTTAGAGGCAGTTTAATGAGACACACAGGTGTTTACGTGCAGAAGGAGAGGAACCAATTAGACACAGACGCGCCATCTGCTCCAGCAACCCCACTCCTGCGCGCGTCCCCGCAGAAGTGCAGGCAGGGACTTGAACAGATGCACGCGCAGGTCGTTCACACCGCGAGTCGCCGCAGCCGGAAGGCACCGGGCACCAGCCGTCCCAGCGTCCGTCCACGGGCGAGCGGAGAAACAAAACGTAGCGGATCCACAAAATGGAATGTTATTCCGCCTTAAAAAGGAGGGGAGATCCGTCACACGCCACAGCATGGGTGCGCCTGAAGGCGTTATGTGAGTGAAATAAGCCAGTCACAAGAGGGCACATCTGTGTTTCACTTCTGTGAGGTCCCCAGGGTCATCAGGTTCAGAGACAGCAGGTGGAATGGTGGTGCCAGGGGCTGGGGGAGGGGAGCTAGAGTTTCATGAGCAGAGCGTCAGTTTGGAAAGGTGGAAAAGTTCTGGAGGTGGATGGTGGGGAAGGCGTCACAACAAGCGCGGGGGGGGGGCATATCTGCCAGAACTGTGCCAGCTACCAGGGACCCTCGGTCACCCTCCACCGTGGGGTTCCAGGGAGAGGGAGGATGAGACTCTCCAGGGTTGATGTGGATGGAGACAAGGGTGTCCAAGGACTAGAGAAAATGAAGGCCAGGGGTGCCTGGGGTGCAGATGTGTGTCAGGGAGTGGCGGGGAGCAGGCTGACCGAATGAACAATGCGTGCCTGCATAGTCCCTGAAGGGACTAATGGATGAGCTTCTGAGACCCTGAGTTTCCTCACAGGTTCCTGGTGTGAGTGGGGGTGCAGGGCAGTGTACCCTCCAAGACCACCCGGAGCCTGCTCCCAGTGGCCAGCCCCCCATGTCTGCTTGTTTCTCAGTGCTGGATTCCAGGGAAGAACGGGGCTTGTGCCCCCTGCAAACCCCAGGAACAGCCTGCCTGGGCAAGAGAGCAGCAGGGAGAGAGAGACCCCAGGAGGGACCCCTCATGGCTCCCTGCCCACAGGGGTGACAGGGTCTGGACTCTGCTCTAAGAAGGAAGCTCCTTCCTCTGCTTCCAGAGACCGAGAGGGTCAGCTGCAGAGAGAGTGGGAACGAGCCCAGAGCAGAGAGATGCACGTGAGGACCAGCATGGGTACAGCCCATCTCTGCCCCCAAAAGCCCCATTTCCCCAGGTCTGTGTACTGCAGGTGGGGACAGATGCCCTGTCCCCACAGATGCTAGACCTTTGCCCCTCAGAAACATTGTTCACCTTTCCCCAGGTCTGGATCTGATTCAACTTGGTGACCCCGGAGGCCCACGTGGGGAGGATGAGGGGGGTATAGAATAGGAACTCAGAGCTCGGGACAGAACAGCACAGTTACCCAGGGAAAGCAGGGCCCTGCCCCACCCCCACCATCTCCTCCTCTGCCAGCGTGAGAGCAAATACGGCTGGCCGGGATGCCCTGTCCACGACTGGCATGAGGTCTGAGCCCAAGGCTGCTCCTGGCAGGAAGAGCAAGGTGACCCACTAGATTCACTTGGCTGGAGGGCGGCCAGGCCTGGGGGTGGGGAAACTCCAGACCAGCCACGGCCACAGGGCCACCCACTGGAACCAGCCCAGCCACACTGGGTAGCACAGGCAAGACTGGGTCCTTGCTATGCAGGCGTCTGCGGGTCGGGAGTGGGGGGCCCCGGGCCTGCCTCTGGATATGGGCATGGCTAAGGGGGAGGTCTCTGAGCCCAGGGCACAGGCCATTTAGCATGCAAGCTCTAAAATGGGCCTCAGCTGCCATGGGGCCGGCAGCCCTGAGCCCTGGCCCTGGGGGTGTCTAAGGGAGCCAAGTCCCTGCGCTGGGGTCTGCAGGAGGCACCCCTGTCCTGGAAGCCTGGGGTCAAGGAAGTGCCACTAATGGGCATGTTTTGGGACCAGAACGTTTGAAAAGGCCTGGGTGGGGAGAAGGGTGAGCGCACACACACACCCCGACCTGAGGGCTGGGGGGTCCCAGGGATGCAGGTGTCTGCCAACAAGGTGTTGGGGAAGGGGCCGAGCTCCCCCAGCATCGACAGTCTTCATGTACACAAGTCAGCCACCAGCCCTGGGCTGGCTGTGCGCTGCATCTGCAGGGTCAGGACTGGACCCGCTCCTTCCCTAGACGGGGCAGGGGGCAGCGCAAGTGCCTGCAGCGGAGGGGAGGGGTGGCTGGCAGGGCTGAAGCTGGGCCGTAGCTCCTGGTCCCTAAGGCAGGGCTCTAACATCGCCCTGGGGGGCTGCTGAGGGGCAACAATGTTTCAATCAGTGAAGTAAATGGGGCTGTTATTATTCCCAGAGCCTTCTCACAACAAGCTCTGGCCTGCAGGGGCGGGGGGGGGGGGCGCAGGTGGCAGGGGGCACCCCTGCTCCCTAATAGTTCTGGGACCACCCCCGGGACCCTCCTGGGAGCAGCTCTGGGTCTGCTGTGGCGGCTGGGGCGCCGCAGGGGCAGGGGCGTCCAGGGCCATGAGCACCCAACAGATGGAGCCTGTCTGAAAAGTGACTTTGGCCCGTTGTGGGGAAGGGCTGTGGGGAAGGGCTGGGGGCAACCTCCTCGGGAAACTGAGGGTGGCTCTGGGGTAGGCGAGGGTACACGGCTCCCTAGGAATTCAGGCGGGACAGCACCTCTTGGTGGCTGAGGCTTCAGAGAAGTGTCCTCACAGCCAGCCCTGAGGGGACCGAGCCAGGTACCGTCCTAAACGCTGGCAGGCACTGGCTCCTGATGGCCAAGACATCGTGTGAGGATCCTGAGGCCCAGAGGCCCAAGAGGGGGCTGGTCCCAGACGCAGAGGGGGAAAAGGAGCCAGGCCCCAGGCCCAGCCAGTCTCACCCCAGAGCCACCTCTCACCTCTGCTACAGGTGGTGGCCCCAGAGAATGTCCCACGCACCTGCTGACAGTCAGGGAAATGACCCCCGGCACGCCAAGGGAGGGGCCCAGGCACTGAGGCGTGCGCACAAATAGCAGTCGGGCTTGCACTCCGGGCTCCAGGTCCAACCCAGCCCCCTGCCCCTGCCCCCACTTTCCCATTGCCCCCAGGAAGGGGGAAGGGGCTCTCAATACCCCTTCAGGTCTGTGGCCTGCAGAGGAGGAGGGGTGTCCCCAGAGAGAGTGCTGGGGGGCTGCCAAGCTGGCTAGAGGGTAGGAGCCAGGAAGCCAGGCCCCAGAGGCTCAGTCACAGGAAGCTTCCCCACTCCTCCACCGGCCTGTTCCCCAGGGCAGGGGTACGCCCAAGCCAGGGAAGATAGGGCCCGGGGCGGGTGGTGGCTGGAAGGAGCTCTGCGGTGAGGGGAGGAGCCACGCGGATGTAGGCAGGAATAGCACACTCCAGGCAGAGGGCATGACCAGGACAACAGCCTGAAGTGGGAACGAGCTCTGGAAGGACGGTGAGGCTGACTCAGGGTTGCAGGTGACAGGTGAGCGACGGGCAGCTTAAGGGTCCAGGACGACAAGCTCCTGTGGCCAAGTGGCCTGGGCCTGGTTCCCACAGGCTCCAGAGGCGGACGGGCGGGCGAGAGACTTGTCCAGCGCTGCCCCAGCCCGGGGCCAGGTTCGCTGGCCGCACCGCTCACGCCTGCAAGCCGGGCCAGGGCGCAGCGGCACAGGTGGACAGGAGGCCCCCACAGTGACTTCCTGTCCCCCAGGCCCCTGAAGTCAGGGAGGGAAATGGCCGTCCCTGGCCTGATGCCTGGCACTGGGGCCGGTATGAGGCCCATTGTTTGAGGCTGGAGCTGGGGTGGGGGGAGCTGGGGCCCAGGGGCCTCCAGGAAGCCCCCGGAATGCCCTCTGTCCCACTTCCCACAGATCCAGAGCCTGAGCAAGAACCGGAGCGAGCAGACCCGGCAGCCCCCAGCAGGATGAAGGCACCTGCGGCTCTCCTGCTGGCCCTGCTGCTTTGTGGGCAGCCAGGTACCCGGGCAAGGGGGCACCCCCGCAGCGAGAGGGGACAGCACAGTCTGGGCCCACGGGGACCCTCGGGACACCCCGCCTGGGGAACAGGACACAGCATGGGGTGCAGGGGGGTCAGGCTGGAGTCTGAGGCTGGAGGGACGTGGACGTGGGCTGTCCTGGGCTCCCGCAGGTTCCCAAACCTACCCCTCCCCAGCTACAGACCCCACCTCTTTGAAATGCAGGCTTCGGGTTACCTCTTCTGTCCCGGCCTCAGTGTCCTCTTCTGTCAAACAGGCGGGCCATCCTGAGGGTTTACTGGGGCGGTGGCGGGGGGAGGCAGCTGCTGCAAAGGGGCCCCCACAGCAGCTGGTGGTGCTGGGGAGCAAGCAGGGAGGACAGAGTGGGGAGGAAGGGGATGGAGGAGTGTCGAAGGGCAGACGGAAGGGGTGGGGCCCAGCACTGGGTCTGGAGTATGTGTGCTCCGTGCCCGGGAGCTGGGGGGTTACAGGCCTCCCTGCGTGGCCAGGCACCGGGCGGGCGCAGGACGAGGAGGAGCAGCACGCGGACGTCGGGCCGGAGGGTTATGAGGACGACGACGACGAAGAGCAGGAGGCCAGCGCGGCTGCAGGTGGCAAGGGCAGAGGGGAGCGTCCGCCCCACCCGAGCGCGCAGGCGCCCACCCCTCTCTCGCAACACTTGGTGTGGGCTCCGCTGAGCGCCAGGCTCAGGGCGGGGCTGGCCTGAGGCAGAACAACAGGCAAAGCCTTCCGGGGGGCGGGGGGGGGAGAGAAAGGGCCCTGACACTCAGCACCCCCTCACCTCACCCTGGCTGTGACCCTCGATGGCCGTCCGGAGTAGGGAGCCTAGAGAAGGAACCACTCCCGGGCAGGGAGGCTGAATAGGAGTTCACTAGGCAGAGAGGGGCGCAGCGGAGTCCCTGCCTGGATAGACCAGCAAGTGCAGAGGCCCTGGGCATGGAGTCCAGCTCAGCCAGACAGGACGGCTGGGCGCTGGCAGGGCAGGGCAGGGCTGACCAGTCCTGAGGAGGGGTGCAGGGAGGCTTGGGCAGAGGCTTGTGGAGGGATCAGCTGGGAACAGAGCACAAGCCTGCAGGGGGAGGCGCTGGGCTGCAGGGGGAGGCTCTGGGCCTGTAGGGGGAGGCACTGGCCTGCAGGGGGAGGCTCTGGGCCTGTAGGGGGAGGCACTGGCCTGCAGGGGGAGG